GGCAAGCGGCCGTTGCCTTCACCATGGTTTTGGTGCCAAAAACACACGGTGAAGGCAAGCGGCCGTTGCCTTCACCATGGTTTTGGTGCCAAAAACACACGGTGAAGGCAAGCGGCCGTTGCCTTCACCATGGTTTTGGTGCCAAAAACACACGGTGAAGGCAAGCGGCCGTTGCCTGCACCATGGGTTGGGTGCCAAAAACACACGGTGAAGGCAAGCGGCCGTTGTCTGCACCATGGTTTGGGGGCCAAAAACACAAAAACACACGGTGAAGGCAAGCAGCCGTTGCCTTCACCATGGTTTTGGTGCCAAAAACACACGGGGGTTGGATGGCTGCAGGGACAGAGGGGTGAGGAGGAGGAGGGGCTGGAGGGCTGGAGGGGCTGGCGGGCCGGAGGGGCCAGAGGGCTCGAAGTTTGGCGGGGCTGGAAAGATGGAGGGCTGGAGGGGCTGGAGGGCTGGGCTGGTATCGAACCGCACCGCACCGCTAACAGCAATACCTAGCAGCGTGGCTGGTGGCTGTGTGTGGCGCGTTTACCCAGCTCTCCTTGTCAGGAAGTCATCTTCACGAGCCCACGCTTCCCCTTGCTCTCTGCAGCGTATCTGGAGTTTGCCTACCACATGTGGGGGCATGGCATTGGGCTTCTGGAGCTGCAGTGCTTGTGCCAGGGTCAGTGGATCAGACTTTGGTCACGGTTCGGGTCTCAAGGTGAGCATTGGCGGCAGGCCAAAGTCGAGCTCCCCGCTCGAGCAGAGATGCTGCGCTTCGTGCACTCCGGTTTTTTCGGCGACGCCGACCTGGCCTTGGACGCCCTCCTGGCCTGGGAGGCCGCTGCGGCCCCTACGCCCTACCTCAGCATGTCCGCCGGTATTTCGCACAATTGCGCCCTGCTCCATCACCAAGGTCTAGTGAAGTGCTGGGGGTTCGGAGGAAGTGGGCGCCTGGGCTATGGCAGTCAGGCATTTGCGCCGGGCCAGGCTCCCAACGAGATGGGCGCCGCCCTGCCTGCCGTGGAGCTCAGCCAGCCCGAGCATTTTGTCCGAGCGACGCAGATAGCTTGCGGCGCCCGGCACAGCTGCGCAGTGCTCGAAACCGGTGACCTGAAGTGTTGGGGTGACAACCACAATGGGCAAGTGGGCCAGGGGCCTGATTCCGGGCATGATGAATTCGTCGGCGACGAGCCCTTCGAGATGGGAGTGTTTCTTCCGGCCATTGACCTGGGTGGTGTGAACGTTCTCCAGGTCGCTCCGGGTGAGGATCATACCTGTGCTTTGCTCCAGGGCGGGGTGGTGAAGTGCTTCGGAAAAGGTGACATGCTTGGCTTGGGAGACGCGTGCGGGCCTCGGAGAGCTTGAGCGCTATCTGTCCAGAGCCCAGAGCTGCTGAAGAGCTGATTGACTACATTATCCCGAGGATGGACCGTGGCGACAATCTGGAGGAGATGGGCACGCAGCTTCCCACCATCGACCTCGGCACGGACTTTGAAGCTGTGCAGCTGGTAGCAGGGTCCTACCACACTTGCGCCTTGTCTCGCCAAGGAGCAGTTAAATGCTGGGGCTGGTGGGAATACCTGGGACTTTCCGAGAATCTCGGGAGCTACGGCTACGTCGGCACCGGTCCCGGCGAGATGGGCGATGCTTTGCCTGCGCTGGACTTGGGAGGAAATCTCCCCTTTGCTCAGCTAAGCGCCGGTTTCTTGCACACCTGCGCAGTAGCTTGGCCTTGGCGCTAGGCTTTGTTTGTTTTGAGTCCAGCTGCCAGGTTAGGCCTCTAGGCCTGCGCTCTTCGCGTATGCAGGTGCGGGTCGATGGCGTGGTCAAGTGCTGGGGCGAGGGCTCTGATGGGGAGCTGGGCCATGGCAGCACGGAAATGGCAGGGGACGACCCTGGCGAGATGGGCATCAACCTGCCCGTCACGGACCTAGGCGAGGGAGCCAGGGCGGTTCGCATCGCCGGCAGCGGCTACCACACTTGCGCCATTCTGCAAGACGCATCCCTCAAGTGCTGGGGCTACGGCGGTCAGGGCCAGCCACGTCCTCGGGGCATGTAGGAAATCAAACGCCGTGCGTGCAGCATGTAAAAATTTCGTCCTGGCGGTGCATATGCATGTTTTTGCACATGTTATACATACAGACTTACAGACACAAAAGCACTCGGAGATGCTTCGCCGATGTGGCACGCACATACACACACATCCGTGACCTGCAAGCAAGGGCCATACCCAAAGAGCCCAATACACCTTCATGAAGGAAAAAACCTTAAATTATAGGGATAAGGGCCTTAATATTATGATTTAAGGTATATTCCGTAATTAAGGGGTATTGGGCTCTTTGGGTATACCATTGCCAGCAGTTCGCAGGCCGGTGCTACTTTGATCTGCTTTGCTTTTGCCCTTGGGAGAGCCTTCTGAGGCTTGGCCAAGGCAACGCGGAGAATCTAGGCGACGAGCCTTCGGAGACTCTAGGTCGATTTGGTGCACCTTTTGAATGGTTCAGACGAAGGGGTTCCTCTGGGCTTCGTGGCAGTTGGGTGTTCCAGGATGGGCTCTGCCTTGCGTGCTGTGGACGTGGGGCTGCACGGAGTGCGGGGTGTGACCTGCGGCGGCTTTCACACCTGCGCGCTGCTGGATGACGACAGCGTCAGGCGCCTCCTAGGGTTCACCAAGCCGTCCTGGCAAGCATGTCCAGGTCACAGGTTCCGACAGCCGCTTGGTGTTTTTGCGAGTACAGTACGGTCTGCAATCGATCCGTTCACCCTCTAAACGTGGTAATATGTGGTAATCATGTGAGATGAAGTCGAGGGGATGTCATCAATCAGAAGCACGGACTGCCATGAACACGGAAAAATTGCATGACATTTGCCTGGTGTTCAGGTGCTGGGGTGCGAACGATGAAGGGCAGCTGGGCCAGGGAAGCAGTGTGAACGTCGGGAATCTGCAGGGCCAGATGGGAGCGGCCTTGGTGCCCACGGAGCTCTTCGTGGTGCTGTTGGGTGCTGAGGATGGCCTGGAAGGGTTGAGCCTCCTCCCAGCAGGTGGTCCTCAAGGTCTCTTGCAGCTCTCTCACCAGGGCTCTGATGGCCTGGTCTGCGACGACGGCTTCGACCAGGCCGCTGCGGAGGTCGCCTGCCGTGATTTGGGGATGGCTGGGGGCGAGGTCTTCTCGGAGGATGCCGGGTTTCCCGGCGCCATCCTGGCCGACAACATCAGGTGCACGGGCCAAGAGGCGAGTCTGCGGGACTGCCGCTTTCGCGGCTGGCACGTGCACGACTGCTCCTTCCGGGAAGCTGCAGGCAGGGAGCTGTAGCTCGAAGGGCTGGTGCGTGCAGGCGCTCTGTGGCTCTGTGTGCTCATGCGAGTGAGCTCTTGCATACCTGAGTACTTCAAAGGCGTGTTTTGGTTCAGACTATGTTTAATTCGGGCCAGCATATGCCAGCATAGCATGGTGTTGAACAGTCTGCTTTGCACCAAAATGACTCGGGAAATGTGCCATCAAATGAGCTGTTTCTGCTGCTGCGCTTGGAAGCATTGGCAGCGGAACGAATGCATTTTCCCGCCTTATCTGGCCTCCTTTGCATGATGATCGAGCAAGACAAAGACATGCATTCCTCCGAGTATTGTGGTGTGAACGTGAATTGTGAGCCAGCACTTCCAAAACCCGTCGCAGACGAACGCTCCAAAAAAAGCACCACCCGAAAGTGCAGCAAAGCGGTTTTGTCCCCCGCCCACGGCTTATAAACAGGCATGAAAAGTGCATAAAACGCATGGTGGATCCCCGGGCTTGCGAAAGGCAAAAACTAACTAAGCTTGGCATAGAGGAGCAGGCGCGTGAAGATGTTTGGTTTGCTTTTGTGGCCATTGTTGCCTGGAGGCATCCGGTGCCAGCTGGATGCATGGAGCGAGTACACAACAGCTGGAGGTCCAGATGGACGGCAAGACTCCTCCATGGTTTGGGACATCGAGACGCAGTCAGCACTTCTTTTTGGTGGCCATGCCAGTAATGCGTTCCTCTACTTTGAAGACCGCTGGCGCTATGACTGGCCTCAAAGAGCTTGGAGGGAAATCCGGCCCGACGGCCCGAAACCAAGCACCCGATCGGGGCATGCAGCTGTGTGGGATCCCCAGTCCAGGTCCATGATGATCTTCGCGGGGCGTTTCCTTGCAACCTTCTACAATGACCTCTGGCAATTCAACGTCGAGGACGGCTCCTGGAAGCTTCAGATTGTGGCTGTGCTGCCGCAAGCTCCACAAGCCCGAGCTTACCACACTGCGATCCTCGACACAGCGGAGAATGCCCTACTGGCCTTCGGGGGCGAGAGCAGTCAGGTCCTTGGAGATCTTTGGCGCTACAGCCTCGTCGAGAGGCAGTGGAGCCAGTCCTTGGCCCTGGGGCCAGAAGCCCGCAGCCGGCATAGTGCGGTGTGGGCGGCTTTGACCCGGCAGATGCTGGTTTTTGCAGGATGGAGTGGCGAGCACTACCTGCAGGACCTGCACTACTATGATGCCTCAGCAGACAGATGGGGCGAAGTGCCAGCCGCTGGACATTGGCCCGCGGCCCGCAACGGCCATGCGACTGCCTGGGACCCTGTTTCCAAGAGCATGCTGATAATGGGGGGCACCCAGAACGCCAGCGACGGTTTGAGCTACACGAATTCACTCTACAACTTCAGCCTTCTCAGTGGCTCATGGCAGGAGGAAGGCTTGCAAGCTGGCCTGCCAGGTCCGTCCGGGCGCACAGCTCTAGCGATGGTTTGGGACGAGAAGTCCCGTGGGCTATTCGCTTTTGGTGGCTTCAACGCCTCCTACCTGCAGCAGAGCTGGAGATATGCCGCCAGCCAGACCAACCCACCCCTTGTGGTTCGTTGCGAGCTGGGCAGCAACTGCTCCTTTCGCTTCGGGAATGCCGCGGGCATTGGCGCTAAGCACGTGTGCTCTGGCTCGGACTTTCTGGACGGACTGCTCTTCGTGGTGTCTGAGGAGGATCATTGGAGCCTCGAAAGCCCACATCTCCTGCTGGAGCCTGGACAGCACCGTCTCTGCGGGTGCGAAACCAGCTGCAGCCATCCCAGCGACTATCAGGTTGCCATCGGCTACTTTCTGGTGCAAGGGCCTTATTCTGACCAATCGGCCGAATGTTACCTAGGCTCAGTCTGCACGATAGACGCTTGGAGAGGCGTCGGCATCTCTGTCAATGACCGCGTCGTCATGCAGAGCCGATGCGTGAATGGGGAGGCCTCCATCAACTACCCGTGGGAACATGCCATTGGCGTTACCTTCAATGATACCTACGGCTGGCACTCACTGGAAGTCGGCTTGCTGGACAGAGGGGACAAGCCAGAGACTGTGGAGCTCTGCTGGTGCCCCTCGAGCCGTGCTTGTGGCTCTGCAACGGACTATCTGGTGGTGGCTCTGCGTTTGGAGATCCTCTGCCCTCCGGGGGAGTACAGCGCCGGCCAATCGTGCCTGCTCTGCCCGGCGGGCCAGTTTTGCCCGGGGGGCGTGGAACTGCAGAGCTGCCCATTCGCGAGCACCTCGGAGCCTGGCGCACGCCCGGCGCCCAGTGGACAGCACTGGTGTCAAGACATGTCAGCTGTCTTCTCCCCCGCCCTAGGCGAGCTCTCCGACTGCAAGTGCCTGCAAGGGCATTACTGGAGCGGCAGCGCCTGTCTGCTGTGCCCAGGGGGCTCTTCGACATCTCAGGCGGGTCCTGCAACTCCACTATAGACAATCTCGCTTGAAGCTGCTTTGTTGCATGCGTCGGCCGTGCAGCTTGCGGCTCGACTGCCTAACATCAGACCAACAGAAACGGCCACGACGTACGGGGGAGTTGAATCCACAAACGATGGTTATCCAATCTGCTGGAAGTTGGCCTTGAGTTGCGATGTTAAAACAAACAAACACGACAACGTCGATCATGGCACATATATAAATACCAGTCTGCTTGACAGACAATGCAGATCGATCATGCAACACCTCCTCAATTGTTTACCACGAACCCAAGAAAGAATCGATCGCGGAACATGTCACAAGTCATCGGTCCCTCCACCCCAGCCAAAAACGATCATGGAAAGCATCGTCAAGAGTTTGCCACGCACCGCCGATAAACAAACAAACCCAAACCCCAAACCCTAAACCCTAAACCCTTAAAACAGTGACAAGTCAGGAGGGAGCTACCAGCCTGGATTCCTGCACGTGCTTGGCGGGCTTTGTCAACACGCAGCCCGACAACCCAGCAGCCTGTGAGGCTTGTGGTATGGGCTTCTTTTGCCCAGGCGGTTCACAAAGCAGGCAGCCCTGTGGCTCTTTTCAGACCACCGCTAGCGAGATGTCGCCGGATACCTCGCACTGTGTCTGCGAGGCGGGCCGCTTTCTGGATGGAGGGAGCTGTGCTTTGTGCCCTGTCGGGCGCTTCAAGACAGACATCGGAGACTTCTCGTGCACGCAGTGTGGCGCCGGGACCAGCCATGGCAACAGCACCGGACGCGTCGAGCCCTGCAGGTGCCGGCCGGGCTATGGCTTCGATGAAGAGACGGCGCAGTGCACGGTGTGCCCTCCCGGCGAATACAAATCGACGGTGGAGAACGCACTGTGTAGCCGCTGTGCCAGCGACAAGACCTCCATGCAGGCCGCTACGTCCGTCCTCGACTGCAGCTGTCGGCCGGGCCTGGCGGCTGAGGGCAGCCTCTGCCGGGATTGCGAGGCGGGCTTTTTCTGTCCGGGCATTGGCGAAGAGCGGCAGTGCCCAGAGGGCGCCACCTCGCGAGCCCGCTCCGAGCAGCAGGCAGACTGCAGCTGCCTCCCGGGTTTTTACTTCCGTCCGGACGGGTCCTGCTGGCCTTGTCCCGAGGGCTTCTACAAGGAGGGCGAGGGCAATGATGCCTTCTGTCCCCGCCAGTGCCCCACAAACTCCAACAGCACAGCTGGTTCCACTAGCCCGTTGAATTGCTTCTGTGATCCAGACTACTACGCGGAAGTCCACACCTCGGGGTTCATCATAAGATGCATTGATTGCTCAATTCTTCCAAACATGCGTTGCCTCGGTGGTCTTGAAGACTCACGGCTCTTGAATGAGACGGGCTCCCACTCCATCCCAGTGGCCAAGGAAGGATTCTTCCAGACAGGAAAGGCCACGGCCATAAAGTGCCGGGTGCGCACTGCTGAGGGCGACAGCGCCTGCATGGGCAGTCAGCCTGTGAGAGATCCGTGCCTGAACGGCTCAAGCACCTCATCGTGCACCGAGTTGGACGGATTGGGGAACCGATGTGCTTCAGGCTCCCAGGGGATGCTTTGTGGCGAGTGCCCTGTGGGCTGGGCGCGGGCTAGCTTCCAGGCCCCATGCCAGCAATGCCAAAGCTCCGAGCTCACCCTTCTCTTCTCCGTGCTTTTTGACATTTCTTCGAAGGCCGCCCTCAACTTCATTGTGGCCTCCATGGCAGCCACCGCGGCCGTGCGGGGCAGCGGGAAGCTGCACACGTCGCTCATTCGTATCGCCATTCAGTGGTTCGCTGCCTGCTCTGTGATCCAAGTCTTCGATTTAGACCAACTTCGGGTCTTGGCCTTCGAGCCGCCCTCTGGAGCGGGCCCAGCTGCAGTTCTTCCCTGGCCTCCTTGGGTACAAGATGCCCTCCGGGACGTGCTGGCCTTCTTCTCCATGGTCCAGCTCCAGCTGTCGGTTCAGTTCTCCTTGCACTGCGTCGCGGCGGCTTCCTTCCCCAGCAAGCCCTCGGAGGCCCAGAACGAGGCCTTGGCCATCTACTTCCTCTGCCTACCCGTCTTCACCACCCTGGCAACCGTGGCCCTCTGTGCCCTGGGAGTCTACGTGCTGGTGCCCTTGGCCAAGCTCCAAGGCTTCGCCTTCAACCGCGTGGAGAAGAGGAGATGGGCAAAGCTGAAGCTGGGCTCTTGTTGAGGGGATTTAATTCAAGTTACCATAATAAGGAACCCTATTATTTACTATAGATCCCTACATTATGGTAA